ATATATATATATAAATTTAAAGAATTAGTTTCTTGGAGAAGCTATTTATAAAAGTGACTGGTGGATCTAAATCACCATATCGCGGCATACAATTTTTGCTTTGCTTGAAGTATGGGAGCTGGCAGCTGCCTTCTGTCTGTAGACATTGCTGTGCATTGAGGACGAGAATGAGGAGTAGTCGATGTGGCTGTTGACTTGCGATTGCTCCTGGCGTTCCAGGAAACTGTCAGCTATCGCGCGATCCATGCCAGTATATTGAAAATTTTGAGCACCACTCAACACATCTATCTCAGAGTTGTCAACAGTACGACCACGTCGTCGTTGCTCAATCAACCCTGTCGGCTTGGTGCTCTTATTGGAGCGATAGGTGCCCGTTAAACTAACCGGATTGGCATAGAGTACAGACGGTCTCATATGGGGTAGTGTCATGCCTCTATAGTGTGGTGGGGGAACCGGCAGCAGCATGCTAGCCCCAAGGATGGGAGGCATGCGTGGTAGTATCTGCAAATAATTCAAGTTTTTATTTTTCAAAAATATTTTTATTTATTTATATATCAGATTTACCACATTGCCGGTGACTGTAGCTGGTATGAGCATAATGGAACGTGATGGGGGCGTAAGTTTACACCCCGATTTCTGTGGAAGTGGCAACGTGCCGATGTGTATGGCATGCCTCCACAAGGCTGCCAGTTTCTCGTTGTTTACCTGAACAGAACGATAAGAGAACCATTCACAGTTGAAGAATTTTTCTATTACCTGTAGGCTAACCTTTTCATTGACATTTAAAGACGTTGCTTTAATGTACTGGTCCACCTTTTGTTCATCCAATGCTGTTGGCGATTCGCTTGACTTTATTACATCGCGTAGCTCATTAGGTTGTGATCTGCAAGTAAATAAATTGTAATATATTAATATTTCAGTTTTAATTTCCAAGTTTAAAAAATAAGGTACTGCTAATTATAAATGTCGCTTATTTACATATATAATGATGGCTAAGTATTACCAAAAACTTTGGTCAGTGTTTCAAAATGGAACGATCAATAAAAATTACTATCCATTTCTCGATGAATATGACCAAAAGCTACAATCAGTGTTGCCGTATTTTCCGAGAAAAAATAGCAGAATCAGGACAAAAATAAGCAATAATAGGCTAAATCTCGGTTTTTCAGCCCATACCCACGGGTAACCGCGAGTGCCCACGGGTATCCGATGAAAACCCGGCCCGTGCCCACCTCTAATTGTAATAGATAGATACACGTACAAATATTGTAACAAACATTTCATATTCATGAAAAACAGAACGAAAATAATAGAAAATTTTACATTATACATTTTAAATGTTTCAATTGATGATAAATCTGCCAATAGATAGTCTACAGACT